GGTGTCCAGCTGCCTGGGCCGCCCGCCGGCCAGCACCAGCCCCAAGGGGCTTTGGGAGGAGGAGAGACCTGAGGGAACCATACGGGGCTTTTGCACCTGCGGTTGTGATTTTCCAGTGACATTCAGTGTCCGAAAAAAGGGAAGGCTTAGTGTTTTCAGCAAGCCCTTGTCCACAGGAAAGGCCCCACTCAGAGGCCTGTTCCTCCTTCCCCCGCTTGCCATGCGGTGCTTTTGGTTAGAAAAGGGCATTTTTCTAAAACCGTAACGATTAAACCCTGCTGGTCTTGCCTCCCTGGATTTCTCGGAGGGCTCCCTGGAAGCCCCGGGGAACCTGCGTGTACCAGGCACAGAGCTGAGCACTGCTTCCCAAGCAAAGGTGCGGAGAAAGGATTTCTTTTCCTAACCTGCAGATATTCAGAAAGTGATGATGGGAGGCTGTGGGATCCTGGGGTAGAAGCCAAACCCAGATGTACGTCCAGTTTTCACAGATGGTTTTCTCTCCCTTTTCGCAGGCCAGACCAAAACCTCAGCTCTGGATATTCCAGCTCTCGAGCACTTGAAATCTGGGGCCCACGTTGGCTCTGGGTTGTATAGTTTTGCCCTTTTGAGTCACAAGGCTGCGCGGGATTGGCAAAAGAGTGAGGTGGAAAAAGCCTGCATATTTTTTCGCAAAAGTTCAGCTACGCTAAGTCAGGAAACCATCGTCTTCAAGAAGGACAGCCTTGCGCATTCCTCCTTACACATCTGTAACCGTTTGAACATCCATCAAGTATAACCTAGGATTGAAACAGATGCTCATTACACTCATCAAGATGATAAGAATTCAAGACACTTGAATTAGTGATGAGTTCTTTGTAAGAGGTGATGTGAAAACTGGCACGGAAACCTTAACACCCGAGGGAGTATTGCTGGCATCTGTTGGGTAGTAGTCACCACTCAATTACTATTGCATCTTGAATGGATGCTGTAACTGTTCCTGTAATCTTTTCACAGCCTTTTAGTACTTCAGCATCTATTCGTAGATACATTTATGGACATACTGCCCAGACAGACGGACAGTAGTGCTAATAAGCAGGATCTACCTCTACATTTCTGCTTTTTCATTGAGGGGTAGGGGGAAGGACTGCTTTTTGAAATGGCCATCTTTGACCATGTAAGGGTAGCTATGCGTGAGCACAGTATTCTCCATATAGGGACCAACTTTAAGTGTCAACCAGAATGCTATAGCAACTCCATCAGCAGAAGTTATTGAAGCCAAACTAGCTTATTCCCTCAGAGGCCAAGAGCTGGACATGACAATGTGTCCCTTCTCCTGACTGGGAACAGCAGGCTCCGGTGTCAGCCCAGAGGTCCCTGGGAGATGGGTGAGGCTGCTTGCTTCCCACTCAGATACAGCAGAAGGAAAAGCATCAAACCTATAGCAGGCTCCCTGTGGTTAATTAAATTTCAGTGGGCTTTGGATTGGGCTGTGTCTTCTCATTGCTGGTGCCAGCCATAAATACACAACAGCTGGCTCTCTAGAGAAATAAAAATGTAGCTCATAAGCCTGTGTTTAAACAGGTTAATGTATATAGAGAATATTGTTCATACCAGAATTTTCTAGAGATTGAAATATTTTATGCTGTGAAACAGACCAGAAAACAAATTAAAAAGCCATTAAAATTCTTTAGCTGAAAATGTGGCTATGGTTAAGAAGTGGCGTCTTCTTCAACACATCTGTTTTCAGTATATTTGTGTTCAGAGTCAGATTTGCCCACCTGCCTGAAAAGACGTTTTACTCCCATAAGCAGTGAAAAAAAATGACACAGGTTAGTGAGAAGAAAACAGATCCTCCTTGAGCTCATTCAGCTAAATGGAAGGGGGCCAAGGTGTATCTGTTTCAGTGAGGACAGCAGGTTTGGACAGGTGCTAAGGAGACCATCATCTTAATGATACATGAACATGAAAGTTTCAACTATCTAATCTCATTGGAGTCTGTGGGGCTGGCTGTGGATGTTAGGAGGGAACTATATAGTTGTACTTAGCATGTTTGATCTGAAAATCACAAATAGACAATAAATACAGGATCCCACACTGCCACTTTTAGTGTCACTTCTCAGAGAAGAACTGTGCTTTAACAAGGTTTAAACTGCAGTTTGAATGTTTTCACAAGTGCTTTACAGCGTTGCCACTTTGCCTTTGGGAATTAGTTAAGATATGCTTTGCAGAGCATGGAATCATAGGACAAGGCAGTAAACCCTGTAATAAACACTTGTCCATGCTACAACCAAGCTGTTCGCAGCAGTGTTTAAAAGAACCACGTTTGTGACTACATGCCATAACAGGGAAGGGACACAGCTTGAAATTGTTTTTTAACGTGTCCCTTTAATTATTCATTATCCATAGTGTAGTTTACAAGATGTAATAGGAAAAGAAACTAGAAAAAAAAAAAAACCATCAGGATTCCTTCTTTTGCTAACAAACCTAAAGTGGTGAATATAGGCATTAAGCAGTCCGTTCCATGTTACAGGAATATGACTAGCTTGTTTAAAAATCATTAGTTAAAACTGATGCAGAAACAGCCCTCTAGTTAACAGAAATGGTTCATTGCAACTTGTAACAGTACATAAAACTGGAGAAAAAGGACCACTTTCATTGGGCAGACCGAAAGTTACTGATACCACATTGCTTTCAATTGGTAATGACATGCTTTTGGTAGGACATCAGCTTATTGATTCAGTAGCAGTCATATTTCCAGACAGGTATTTATCTTTCCCTGGTTTTCATCCTCACTATTTGTATTGCTGTCCTGGATGTTATGATTGTTATAAATCTATTTTTGTTCCCATGCATCATTATAATCACCAGGTCTATAAATGGCTTTGCTTTTTCAGCCTGTCTGCTATCTGGAAAAACTCACAAGTCCAGACCAGTGAGTTGGTGCTGGCAGGTGAACACTGCGTAGCTGAGTCATCTCAATATATCAGTGTGATGTTTATTGAGCCCAAGCAACAAACAGTGGGAAGACTGTGGCTTCAGGCTTGGGACTCAAAGTTCACCACACAGTGCATTTAGAGAACACTCAGAGCTTCGTCATTAACAGATTTCTGTCAAACTAAGGGGAAGAGGGATCTCAAAAAGATCGATTGCCTCTGAAAGCAAACATATTAGTAGCTGCAAGAATGAACAAATCTGGCATTCTACCATGCTGTTACAGCAGTCCTTAGAAATTAATCTCTCTATTTAAATTGTAAATGCTGATGACCTGAACTACCCTGGGAAAACTTTGAAAATGGAGGCTTAAGGAAACCTGATAATCTGCGGACAGTGCAGTGGTTCAGGAAGCAGGAAAGTATGTTTCAGATTTTACCGAAGCAGGTGAAACCCCGCTGTGATATTTCCCCATCCCTTTTCTCTCATCTAACTCAGAAACCCTGGGGAACAGATTTCATGCCAACATATGCTGAAGGAAGAAAAAAGGTATTTAGCTAATAATGTTATCAAAAGAAAACTTACACCTAAGTGGTTATCTTTGTTTTAGCTGTGTGGCTTGTTTTATCTTGTAAATGGTTTTGCCTCATTTTTTTTGATTGAGACCTTGGCTCATTTTGTAAATCTGAGGCAGATACGAGGTGCTAATATACCAAAAGGAAAACCTCACTTGTCAAACTATGTATCCAGAGAAGGAAAGACGGAGCTTGTCCTATCAAAACAGAACTTGATTTGGATTGTAGGATTTGAAGGTTGCAACGATGGAACTGAAAAACTAGAGTCACAGAATGTGTATAAAGTTACCAGCCATAAACAATTAAATACAAACATCTCCAACTTCAAAGTGAAGAAAGCCATATATTCTTTGCTGTTTGGGCTTGCCTACCTAGGGAATTAAGTCAGCTTGTGAATCTGAAAAGTGCTGGTTCCCTACGTGGACACTCTTAGCTTGCAGGTAACATTATATTCTCTAATCCCCTTTCAAAGTGAATCCATACCACATCGCTCATCTGGATTTGTGAATTTTTCAGGTTGTGTAAGCAACGTGAACCAAGTAGGATCAAGACTCCTACCTTTCAGATGGCAGTAACTGAGAGTAAGCCCTGTACCTCTGTATGGGGGCCACCAAACTGCTGCACTGTAAATTTGCATCCCAGCCTGCTTCACAGTCACTCCGACCTACAGGCAAACAACCTCAAGCATAAGGGATGCTGGAGGGCTGGGAACTGAGAAATAGCAGCTTCATTTAGTCATTCCCACCTTGGCTTTTTTGGCCTTCAATTTCGTCCTGAAATTTTCTTCTTTTCTCTGTGGCATCAGGAGGCTTCTTGCATTGATTCAGACCCTTCAAGCACTCAGAAAGTTTAAGGTCTTCTGAAAAACTCAGT